TGTTACAAGATTTCAGTAGCTTCTTGAGATAGTTTACAGCGCTGAAATCCAAGGAATAAATGCAACAGCAGAAAGGATATATTTCACAGATTTTTCTCCTCTTTCCCAAGAAGCTTTAACTACTCATGGAGAAGGATAGCTATGGTTCCAGGGGAGAGAGAAAATGAACATGAATGACCTTGGATCAAATCCAACTGAGCACTGCTGAGAAGAATATGGAAAGGGACGTTGGCATATCAAGAAAAAGGAAAATAGCATTCAACGCAGAGCTAGCAAATCAGGGCTGAAAAATTCCAAACAACCACTAGGTTGCAGCAAAGATCTAAAGTTTTCTGTACCGTATCCAGTTTTGCTGCCATCTATGGTCATTGGAAGTGGTTCAAAGAAGACATGCTATTAGGCAGTTCATCTGTGGACATGACAGCGCAACAGGGCACTGGAAGTCCATTGTTAAATAAGTGTGGATGTTACTCTACATTCCTCCAAAAATTATATAATTTTTCATCTAGTTACCCATCTTCAGTGCTGGTGGAGGCTTCATAACAGCTTCTGTCAGCAGCCACAGCTCCTTGTTTCCTTGGTGGTTGGATGGCATAGGGTTTCCTTTGTAGCTATTGATTGGACAACCTTACGGTCTCTTCCCAGTTCACCATATAGCAACTGGCAAGACATACGGTATTTGCCCCTTCTGATCACACGTCCCACCTATTGCATCTGGCCTCCGATAATCAGTGACTCAATGCTGGTGGACTCCATGCTATCCAAAACCTTCAGGTCCGGCAGAAAACACAAGAAGCAGTTCCAAGAAAGTTCTACACCCATTTGCACTATTTAGGTGTCCATGAGGACCCAGATAAACCTCCAAGTGGCCTCAACGACTCTCAGAAAGAGTACTAATGACCAGATGATTGCAAGGAATATAAATTCTTCCATCTTCCACCGTTGGGTCAGAATGGAAGAAGCTTCTTGAATGAGAAGCGAAACATCTTCCAAGAAAAACGATGTCCAATTTGGGACAAACCTCCCCGAATACCATATAGTTCCGACTTCATCTGATAGAATTCTTATGGGTAGCTACTGATGTGTTGCAAGATTTCCCTCGTTTTCTTTGGAACGTTTCAGAAGTAACCAGGACGGGGCGACCTGAGGTATACTATGCACACGTTATGTCCAAAAGGTGCTTTTTCTAAAGGCAATTGGACTTTGTTTTTCCTTGAAGACGTTTCACTTCTCATCCAAGAAGCTTCTTCAATTCTGATCTTCCACCAGTCAGAACTGAAAAACGGAAGAAGCTTCTTGGATGAGAAGCGAAACGTCTTCAAGGAAAAAAATGAAGCCCGGTTGCCTTCTTTGGAACAACTACGACCTGGATGACTGAGAATCTCCACAGACTTTCATCGTAAGAAGTCTGAACTTGGAGGAGGGTGGGAATTGGGAGGAAATTAATTCGGCCTTCAGAGAGACCACAGCAAGCTCCCATCGTGTAAAGCGGGCGAAAACAAGCGTCTCCTTTCCATCGCTTCCTTATTGCTTGCCTGGCTAGCCACGTTGGCTGTCTTCTGGCTTATTTTTTAAAAATGATGGCCTTGGAACATTCCAGCCGGATAGCTGGAACCACACGCAGAAGAATTCCGAATGCTGTCGCTGCTTTTAAACACTCCATTAGGTGCCTGCCTAATTAATGTGAATGATCATTATGCCTCTCTCACGGAGGGTTATTTTACTCAAAGGAACATTCTACCCGCTGCCACAGTAGCCATCGGAGGGAGGCTTTTATAGGGAAGCTGGCATGGTGGTTACCCATTGAATAAAAGGTAAGGAGCCATCCTAGATAGTGCAGATGGAAGGTTTAACGGGCTCAATAACATATTCCGCGGTATTTTATTCCAGGAATTAAGAGTTTGATTGCAGCCCTGCGCTAATGAGAGGGAAGCCGCGTTGGCAAATGGAAGCTTTCAGCACGGCTGAATCTGCGAGAAAGGCTCAAGCAGAATATTTCAATAGAGCGGCAAGAAGTGAAGTAAACCACAAGAAAGGAGAGAAATTCAGCAGACGCTTATAAATAAAAGGGGGTGGGGAAATATCAGACAGCTTATAGACTTTATCTCTTCTTGATATAGATTGTTCCAAGTTGGAAAGAACTGGTCTTTTGGTTTTGGTCATCAACAGAAGGCAGAGTCACCAAACACAGATCCATGTTTTATCTTGGTTTTTTTGGCCACTAAGAACGTGGGAATTCTGAAAGGAAAGCTGGTCCATCGGCCCCAGCAGGGAGAAGAAATCAAAGTGGATCCATTTCAACTTCCTTCCAAGTTGATTTGATAGGGAAGATCACAGAACCACCGAAGGGAATATTTGTAGCTCAGGGTTGAACTGTGGGGTCTCTCCGAACTTGGTTGTTTGCTTGCAGACATTTCATTAGCAAACTAGGCAAC